CAATATCTGCCAGAAGTTTTCAGCTGTTTCACAGGGGCTTGCATGGCCCTGCTAAGTCAGTGCTGTGCAGGGCCAGTCTGTGCTGTTCTCTTGTGTCATTTCTCCTTATAGCCATCTTGTGATGGCACTTGTGATTCCTGTCTTAAATGGACAAAAAGGTTTTGCTGCCCAACCTATTAGGGCTGTAGACCAGCATTTCTAATACTTCACTGTAAGCCCAGAGATTGATGGCTACGTCATCTGATTATTTTCTTGCAGACACCTGGAAGCACAATTTCCATGTCTGTTTGTTAGCCTACTAACGTGCATTTCCTTGGCAGAATCCATTAGTTTCTGTGGCTGTGGGGGCAGTGCACAGGCTGTGCTGACGTTTGTGCAGAGTGTGAGCAGACCTGAGGCTCTGTTCACTTACATGAGTTTGAAGGAAAGCAGGTAAGACGAGAACCAAGGGGGCAGTGCCACATGACTTGGCAGTAATTTCTTGTCCCAGTTCCAACAATTCCATAGGGTTGAATTAACTATAAGCCACTCTCAGAGTTGGGTCCTGGTGAGAATAATGTGGATTACAAGACCTTTTGAGGCAGTTCATTCTAACATGAGAGAGTTTGAATAATTAGCCAGTCCTTAATATTTAACTTAAAAAATTCTCCACTACAGTTAATCTCTATTGCCACTTCTTCTAGCATTGCTGTCTACTGAGAATAGTTTACTGCATAATAATTTATTGTTCTCTTACACTTCATGTTGAGTTTGCTTGTTAGTATGTGTCCTTTTGCTTTTAATATAATGTCAACAGTATTATTAACTCTCTTGCAACTTCTTTTCCCAGCTGGTGTTACAGGAGTTCTGCCCACAGAGGTTTTTGATCAAATGTCCCGGCCAGCTGCTTACATGATCTGTGGCTCTCTGCTGTGGTTCAACCTATTTCTGGTGGGAACAGCCTTTCCATTCATTGTGGTGGGTTCCCAAGGCAAAGCAAACACGTGCAGCTTCTTAGTGTTTTGTACAAGAAAGATGCTCTGATAGTGACCAAGAAAAGAGACAGGGCCTGGAGTATCATGAGCTGCAGACACAGAGCAGGGCAGCACTGCCATGAAGAGCATCTTTATGAGGAAAGTGAGAACTCCTCTGAACCAAACTTCCTCCATGTTCCCTATAGGGATTTATGATGTGAGGCTGGAAGCAGATTGATTTGGGGCATGGATGCTTGATAATCCTCCTCTGTTCTCAGCTGAGAACATCTGGGACTGGAGACGTGATGTAATTCCCCTTGGCCAGACCCTGGCACCATTCCCTAAAGTGATTCCTGAAGTGAAAGGGAGCAGAACTCCACATAATTCAATCCTGTTTTATTTCTCACTGTGGGTGTACATTCTATACAATTACATATAGAGAGAAAGACAGAAAAAGACATTTTAAGATACTCTTCTTGCTATGTCAAATATCCAAAACTGTGCTTGGGAGCTGTTTCATCCAGGCCCTCACCATGGTGGACTGAAATACTCCTTGATTATCCCTTCAGGAACAGGGATTAGTGGCCTATTTGTCCTTGTACAGAATGTCACCAACACTGTCTTGTTTTTTTCCTTTTCCTCAGAAAAATCTAGCACATTTCTGCTATGCTCCATTCCTTGTGGTCTGTGTCTGCACTGCACTCTACGTTGGGTTTTTCCTTCCTGAGACAAAGGGAAAGTCCTTCCTGGAAATCTCAGAGGAGTTCAAGAAGAAGAACTTCAAAGCTCAGAGCCATGCAGCTTTTTATAAAGGCCCTGAAGAGATCAAATCCACCATATTGTAGCAGAAGAAAGGATGGTAAATGGGGGAAATTCAATGGCTGTGTTCTCTTGCAGGGACACAAGAAGAGAAATAGGTAGGGACAACATATTAGTCTTTGGTTCTTAGGTGCATCTGGAAAAGATATACTTGTACTGATAAATCCCAACAACAGTATAATAATCTGTTTTCAGTTTCTAGTGCTAAGTACCACTTGCATACTTTAGAATCCATATTAAAGAGTGACAGAATGATGCCATATTCTCTTATCATCAAACAACACCATGCAATGCTTCAGCAAATTTCTTCAGTTTCTTCTATATTTCTCCTCCACCCAAACACTGACTCCCATCTAAGAAGCCTTTCCTTCCTTGCCCCTGAATCCAGGCTCTTTAACACAGAAATTAACACAATTAAGTTCTGTTTTCAGACACCAGATTAAATTCTCAGTACCTTGTTTTGGTGCTCCCGTTGTTTCTGTTATTAAGTGATTTCAAATAGACCCCTACTTGTTGAGCAGTAAGGAGCAGTTAATGATTTTCAGTTATAAAAACATGTGACAGATGGATTAGGAAGAAATCTTCTAGGCCTTGCTAAGTGGCTTATTGTCCAGCTGACTTTCGGGTGTTCTTTTGCAGACTGTGTATTCTGGACTGGTTTTCTTCACAGCTTTTTTGTTGTCTTCCAGCCTTAGGTTTTAAAGGTTGGTGCTGCTCTAACAGTCACTGCTGGTGCGTCTTGTAGCTTTCACGCTTGACTCTGATAAGGTTAGAGTGTGGTGAGGAGCTCTTCTGGCAGCAGCTTATTTTGGATGTGGAGATTTAGATCAGAGCAGAACATTCTCTGCAGCATGTTCTTGTCTCCATAGAGCATATTGGAGAAGACCCAGACATGATACTGATTCTTTTTAGCTAACCTGGTACAGAACAGGACGACACTCCTCATTTAATAGTGCCTTTCACAAGCATTGGGTTGACTGGTGAAGTTTCTTTCAGTTTCTTCTAAAAAACCATAATCTAGCTGCCTCTTTTGTTTTGACTTTGTATAAAACTCACAGCACTGCCAAGGGTTGCAGCAAAGAGGAACATATTTTCAAAATATGTAGTAAAAATTTTCTTTCAGTCTGTTTTTTAACTACATTTAAAAAAAAACCAAACAAACAACAAAACACAGCATGATTGAATGATAAGACTGTAAACATTTCTGGAGTGCATGACTGTCCTGCTGGGCATGAGTGGAGCAGCAGGTCTATTCCTCAGAAGAGGAGACTGTGCAAGAACTCTCTTTCACTACCTAAGGTTTATAACAAAGCAAAATAAAACTAAATTTTTGTTCATTTGTCATTGCTGCTATTTTAAAAGTCATTCGTATACATGTGATGGGACAAGAGTAGGTATCTCTGCCCTTGGACAGCACTGAGATTTTGAAATATGCAGGATTTTGAAACAAGCCAATCAAGAGCAGGACTCCATGGAGCTGGGAACTGAAGATACATTGCTGTTGTTTGGAGAGAGCAGAAAGGGGCAGATGGAAAGAATGAAACACACAGTCAAAGCAAAAAGTATTGGTACCATCATAATGGTGTGAAAATATTCTGTCATTCCTTTGGTGAGGATCAAAGAAAGGACAGTAGACAGAAGTGAAGCAAAGAAGTGAAGACAGTAGCGGAGATTCAGGCTAGGAAGCAGGGGATGGACTGAAGAGCCTGCCTGGGCAGAGGAGAGGCCTGGCACACACTGCTGGGACATACAGGTCACAGAAGAGTTGGTTGAACTGGGCAAAGTTCTCCAATGTCCAGAGGTCCTTGCCTTGGCCCCCTTTGTGGCCAGTATTGTTGTGCCATGAGTCAGTATGGTTGTGCCTTTCCCCAGAAGGACGGGGACCACCTGGATCTGACAGTATGAAACATGCCTGTTCAGAATTAGTCACATTTACTTGACTTCCTGGGTTTCAGAACCAGTCCTGCAAGTTACTTGTGTCAGAAAACATTAATTCCAACTTCCAGCATTTTTTCTGACCATGGGCTGAAATCAAGTGTCTGTAGACTGATTTAGCAAAGACAAACAGTGGTTATATTTTAATTGGTCTAATTGATTACATTTTAATTGAAACATTTAACAGAGTGGTTAATTGTTACTGAATTAAAACACCTTCAACTGAAAAAAATATATGACACTTGTTCAGGTCAATTTTCTTATGACATGAAGTGTTTGGCAAAAATACACCTTGAAAAGTTACCCTGAGAGACTCATAATTCATATCATTGCTTACAAATCAAATCACTGTGCACTATTAGATTGATCAATAACTATCAACACTAGAGAAAAACAGATACTCCTCCTGTTCTCAAACAGTGCTCCTCTGCACAAGCCACCTCTCACTTGCAGCACAGCTGGGGTTGAGATTCATCCAGACACTGAAGACACACAGCAACCTAGTCTGAGGAACCACCAAGTGCAGCCACTCACCAGGAGAAGGAATTTCCCCCTAAGTTGTTTGAATCACTTTTCAAAGCCTTTTAACAAAACCATCTTGAAGACTAATGGGTAAAGAGGATCTCTGAGAATTACAGATAATAGTAAAGACATAACCTATTTCTTTTACAGTCAGGATTTAAAAATTACATTCAATTTTCCTAACATCTACCATACCACACAGGGTCACACACTTGAACTTTCAGGCAAAGACTATTACTCTTCAAGTGTCAACTGATCCCATAATTCAAGAGTTGAATGCAAAGGCTTAGCCAGGCTTGGTCAAGTCCAGGCTTCATAAGGCTTTGCTGTCCTAAGCCTCAAAGAAGCAGTCAGGACCTATTCCTTTAAATGTAATATCTGATTACCCAACCAATGACTTGGGGAATCCAAGCCAGTCTACTCTAGTTTGCTCTGGTTCCTGAATTCCATCAGTGCCTTTTTTATGGTCCTTAACTCATTTCCTGCAGCTCTGACTCTCAGTCAGCTACTGCTGGAACTTCTCTTCCCTAGTGACCTGGCATGAACACACAGCTGCCAAAATCACCCACAGTTTCATCAGTAACCAACACAATAATGACAAACCAAATAGAAAGAACATCATAACAAATCAAAAGGAGTGTAAACACTGAGAAAGAATGAAATGACATGTTGAAATATTATCTCAGGCTCCTCCTTCTCTATATATAGAGTGACTTTGTCCTGAGCAACCAAAGAAAGCATCAGGAAAGACCTAGTCTGCAAGTGGAGATGACTACCTTTGCATGCAAGTTGGTATATGTTTATCTTTTTTTATCCCCAAATAGAATTTTTGCAGTACATATTTATTTTTCCTTTCTGCTATTCTAAAAGACCTGTTGCACCAATTAAGTATAGAAAACAATTTTTGGATGAGTATTAAGTTAACAAACTTCCTGAATTTAAAATCTCTTTGACTGGAAAACTCACCCAAGAGATACAACAGAAAAATCAGTTAGTAGTGTTATTGTACAGAATAGGGATGAGACTAGGAAATTTGCTGCAGGCACAATATAAAATTTGCACTTGGAATAGGGCTTACTGATTTTCTTACTGTTGTGCGGTTTCCTGCT